AGAGTAATGACTCTTTCAGGAAACTGGACCACATTTTGGAAACTTTTGTGTTGTAGTTTTTAGGAAGAGCTCGTTCCGCTGCCTCCACTGACAAGATGTGCTCTCCCAGAAAAGGAGGAGAATGAGAATACTCTAGGGTACAGTTTAGTACTGACAAATGATGGATGGGCAACTATATATGTGACCCTATCACTTTTGATTTTTTGTAACCAAATATTGATGGTTATGTCTTCGTCACTTGTTATATATTGGCCAAAGTAGAAAGCTGCATATATGTAAATCAGGAAATGCAAATTGAAGTAAGCAACCTGTAGGTACACAGCCACTGATAGAAAGTTATTTATCTCCTCTCCAAAATTTATGAGCTTTTTTTATTTTGGCAAGTTGTATCAAATGGTCCCCACCAGCTGTTTTGCTGCTAGCTTCAGACTAAAGTCATCTTCTAGAAATCTTTTTCTTTTGCTAAAATTAACCAGGTACCATTAGTGTTTAAAGTTAATGATGGACCTTCCCTGAATTGTTCTGTCCTCTGTGCATGTCCTCTTTCCTCACCTCCACTGGAAACACTGCTGTGTGTAAGCCACGATGCCCATCTCTGTACATGCGTATTGTCTTTAATTCTTTCACCAGTTCACTGAAGAAGCTGAACCTTAGAAACCTCTGTAAATGGCAAAGTCAGGTTTGAAACCGTGTTAGTCTGATACTAAAATCCACAGTTGCAACAGGTCCCATACTATTCTGCTGTCAGGGAAGTGGTTTGCTTTTTATTTTATTTTGTTTTTAAAGTTTTTGAGAGAAAGAGAATATGTGTGAGAGAGCCCTGACATGGGGCTCAAACTCACGAACTGCGAGATCATGACCTGATCGCTTAACCAACTGAGCTACCCAGGCACGCTGTTGTTTTAAACTGTTGTTATCCTTATGATTTTATATGGTGATTAGCTTTCTTTTAAGGAGACTCTTGAGAGAAGATAAATTAGAAATACTGAGTTAACACTTAATGGGCTGGGAATAAATACTATGTTTTAAAATTACTTTTTTTTTTTTTGTTTTGTAGAGAGGATCATAAAAGGCTCAAATAATAGATGGGTATTTTATGTTTAACTGTTGAATGTCTATGTTTTTTTAAATTTTTATGTTAAAAATGAAATATAAAAGTAAATAGATTATGTCATTAAACTACTGGGAAGATGAACTGCAAAACCTATTGTTGCCTCTCCTTTTCCCTTCTACTGTTCCCACAGCACCCCCTGAGTCCCTCTGTAGAGCATTCGTGTTTCTTGCATTTGTTAGTTTGTTGGCTGTCTTCTCCGGCTCACCCGGTCTGACTTGTTCATTCTAGTCCACTCTGGAGGTGTGGATGATCTGTCCAGTCAGGTATGTTGAGTATCAGATGCTAGAAGCACTCACTATGAATAACACATCCAACTCCACAACAGACTACAGGCCTGTAGATTGAGAATCTGAGGTCTTCATGCAGAGACACCAGCTGACGCCATGGGAGAGAGTGGGAGTCGGGAGGTGTGGGGGGGGAGGGGGGCGCATCTGGGAGAGAAGCCCACAGTGGAGTATGAAGGGCCCTGAGAAAAACAGGTGAACCATTTCAACATGGGAGGCATCAAGAGTATATGTATTTCTCTGTTTTGTTTATAATGACCTTTATTGATGCATTCATTCACTCACTCAAGTGAACACCTTCAAGCCAGATAATATGTTAAAGTACTGGAAACAAACAGTAAACAAGATTGTGCATTTATCTCTTTTTCAAAATCAGGGCATTTGTTGTCCCAAAGAAGAATGTCCCCTATTTAAAGTATTTAACTCCTTGTCAGCATACCCAAACAAATCATTTTAATTCCAGTTTTGAATGTGACCCGAGTGAGTTGCCTGTTACAAATTTGGAACCTCTGGCAAGGGAGAACAGAGACGGAGAATTCTCCTTGAAGGGAAATCTAATCTTGATGTCACATTTTAAAAATCAATTACATTTGCTAACTCATGCTAAATTAACCGCAGTACAAAGGCTTTAATTCTGCATACTCCTGATTCCTTAACCACTTAGAGGCTTTGAAGATGAATTCATAGACAGGCCTAATTTGTCTGACTAAAAAGCTGGGAATAGCTATTCAGTATATCAATATAATTACAGCAACATTAATTTTCAAATTACATACATCACTGATAGTAATTAAAAATAACACATACCTAATATTTTACTTAAGAAAAAAAATTTTTAAGTTTATTTATTTTGAGAGAGCGACAGAGAGCGAGTGGGGGAGGGGCAAGGGTGGGGGGGAAAAAAGAGAGGGAGAGAGAGAATCCCAAGCAGGCTCCACTCTGTTAGCACAGAGCCTGACATGGGGCTCGAACTCACGAACTGCGAGTTCTTGACCTGAGCTGAAACCAAGAGTCAGATGCTAACCGACTGAGCCACCCAGGTGCCCTAGTTTTCACTTTTCAAAAAGAGTATTCTGAGAAGGGCATGGTTCAGATGCAAACAGAAGCCTGCCTGTGCAGAAGGACAGTGCCATGTGATAGCTGGACACAGAGGCCTACTTTGTTCTGGCCTACAGAAAGTGGAGCCAGAGGATGCCTGTGCTGTCTTCTTCAGAGTGGCAGAGAAACATGGATGAAAATGTTCTGCAGACTAATGAGTATTGCATAGTCTTAAGAACAAGACTCCAAACCTTCATTGCTACATATTTATGTCTTCCTTTCCAAGACTTTGCTCAGAGTTCAGATTCATTCACCCAACCTACACATATTTCTAGAACACCGACGTTGGCCAGGCACTATGGAAGGCTGGTGCTGGGGAAAGAGCAGTGAATAAGTCAGACCAGATGAACTGGAGAAAATAGCCAATCACCTAATAAAGACGACCAGAAAGATGACTGTTCCACAGAGGGATGGGAGAGTGCTGTGGGAACAGGACAAGAGAAAAGAAGAGACAGCAATGAGTTGACAGATAATTTTTCCAAGTTCAGCATACCTGTTTCCATACTTTCTTCTGACTTTCTGTTTCTGATGCCAAGCCCTGGATTATTTTGTCGTATCTCATCTGTCTGAACCTGCCTTCCCTCCTCTCTCTGGTCTTGATGGCTTGAGGTACCACCATCTACAAATGGATGACTCCAGATCTCCACGTCTGGTCCAGATCCCACTCCTGAGCATCAGAAGCACACATCTGTCTACTAGGCTCCCCATCGGGGTGTCCCTCAAGCTCTTTTCCCTGGCCTCCAAAACCCTATAGGATCTGAACCTGCCTGGTTCTTTCTACCTCTACCTTTACATTCCAGTAATGCTGTATTTCTCTTAGTTCCTGGAAGATGCCATCTTTTCTTACCCCTATGAGCTTTTGTGCATCCGCTGCTTGAAATAGTCTTCCTTCCAAGGCTCTTTTTTGGCGTAACTCCTATTTGTTTCTCAGCAGCTTGGATATCAGTTCTGTTGAGAACATTTCATGCTCTCAGCCCCCCAAGTCTAGAGTAAGAGCCTTTTGTATATCCAGAGCACTATATTTTTTCTCTTACATATTTTGAGTATTTATTGCGCTATTGTAATTGGCCTGTTCATCTCTTATTAGACGGTCAGATCAATGAATACTTCACTCTTTCTTTTCTGGGGCTCACTCAGGATTGAACGTTTCCTTGAGTGTTCAATCTGATTTGAATTCCTTGTAAACTTAGCATTTACCCTGGAGCAGTGCCTTCTATAGATGACCTCGTTGCACCCGTTCTGGGCCACTCCTGCCCGTTCTTTGCATGGCTGCCAGATTGGGATCTCTAAGGTGCTGTTTAGCTGGCATCAGTTCCCAATTGGGAGGCCTCTAGTACTGTGAAATTAATAGTTTTCCTTGGTCTTATACTCTGCAAGATAAAATCAATAGGTACCCACTGTAAATGTGTTTCTTTCCTACACTTCTATCTCTATTAAAGGCATCACCAGGGTGCCTGGGTGGCCTAGTCGGTTAAGCATCTGATTCTTGATTTCAGCTCAGGTCTTGATCTCATAGTGTGAGAATGAGCCTTGCTTTGGGCTCCCCGATGGGCATGGAGCCTGCTTAAGTCTCTCTGTCTCTGTCTCTCTCTCTCTCTGCCCCTCCCCTGCTCACATTCTCTCTTTGAAAAAAAAAAAAAAAAAAGAGGATCGCTATTTTCTTAAAGACCAAGCTGGATAACCTGACAAATTTGAGTTCTCATTCACCCTCACTGACTAAGCCCAAATGCTGAAAGTTTCATGTTAGCACTGAGAGAGGATGTAAATAAACCCTGTGACCTTTGGATTACTACTGGATTGATAGAGGCCTACCTAGTGCACTCTCACAGCCACCTGACACATGGTACTCAGCTCTATTTCCTCCTCTCTTCTCTTATTGCTGATGCTTCCGCTTAGACCCACCTTAGCTGATCATCATCACATCTAACTGGCCCATGACCTCCACTTCTTGCTATAATTTGTGGAGATCAGATTAAGGTGCTTTCTAAACTGTAAACATGTGTGTATCGGTCATGACCTTTAATACGTCTGCACGAATCTTTCTCATAAGGCTACTCATGGTTCCTACCTGTGCGATCTTCTGTCCTGGATTGCCTTAGTCTTTCTCTGGATTTGAACTCAGTGTGTTGTACTGTAATGCATTGTATATGGATCCGCCTCTCTCCCAAACACCTTGCGGGCAGACTCGTGTTTTCTTCATCTCCGCATGTGTCTCCCTCCACTCCCTGTACCCCCAGCTGAGCGTATGCCTGGCATATGAGAGATAAGCAGCCTGTATTAACTGTGCATGTGTCAGCTGAATCCCTCTGGTGCTGCCGTGTCCTCGGCTGGAGTTGAACCCTTCACCTGTTGAGTCCTTCCTAGCTAGCTGATATTTTTGAATATTTGAATAGCCTCGGTGCTTAGAGTGTGGTCTTTGGACAAGCGGCATTAGCATCACCAGGCAGCTATGAGTTACAGGCTAAGAACTTTGGAAAAGAGCTTATTTTTATGTCTGAACACAGGTACTTGCAACCGGGCTCAGTGGTCTCTACTCTTCCCTGCCTACAAAGCTCGAAGAGAAAGGTGAGGAGTGGCACTGCCTTCTGAAGGACGACTGGCTCCTACTCCCTGCTCTCGTTCAGTTCATGAACTCCCTGGAGTTTTGCAATGCCGTCATACAGGTGGGTACTGGAGCACAGTAGAGGAGCCCTTTGTGCTGGTGCATTCAGGATACAAGCACTGCGGAAGATAGTTCATCAGCATTCCTTTTTAAAATTTTAATGTCTGTGGAATATTGCTGCTTTATTTTAAGCATACTGAATGTCCTTGAATGAACAAAAATGTTAGTTTATAGGTTTGGGGGAAGTTTTAATTGAGAAGAAAATAAGTAGGTTTTCTTTATCTTCCTTATACAAAGTGTTAATTCTGTTTTGATTATCCACTTAACCATCAAAAATAAGTTCAATGCTTCACTCATTAAATAGATATTTTTAGGCTTCTAAGTACACCAAATTATACTACTCTTACTTCAAGGTCTTCTTGGGAGTATACAAAGGAAAACACTTTATTTTGCTTAATGGTGCATGCTACATAAAGAATATTGTTATCCCAATTGAATTTAGAAGAAGTTAAGCATCTTCTTAGCAACACAAATTAAATCTATGCTTTGAAATTGGTCTGCTTCGGGGAAAAAACAACCACTGAACTCTAGTATATTTGGCTCCTTGATTAGATTTTTACCTTCAGATTTCTTGTTACTGCTTTCAATAAAAATCAGATTATATATATATATTTAAGGATGTAGTGGTTTTTCATAAAAAATGTTTTCTTTCTATACAATACAAATATTACCTTCATATTGGATTTATTAAGAAATCAAGTTTTCCTTATGTTGATTATAAGGTGAAAAATGTTAGTTATAATCTGTTTATCTACCAAATAAAGAAATAGCTTCTGGAAGAAAATGAAAGTAAATTACTTTAGTTCCTATCTCATTTTTATTGCTAAGTCAAAGGAAGTTTTATTTATATATAAGATAAATGGATTACATCTTCAGGGGTTTTTTTTTTCCCCTTTAATATTACAGTCTATCAACATTTCTTGCAGAAGTGTGTGGAAATAAAAAAGATGAAACTATTAGTTCCTTCCCAAATGTACACACAGAGAGAGATTATCAGTAATTTAAAGATCTAGCTTTACTTCCCTAGAAATTGCTTTTCACTTTATTGTTTGATTTTATTATTATTATTATTTTTTTTAAGAACGAGAAGTAAAAGCTAACAGGCATGGTTAAAGACAGAGAAATGATATATTTCATGCTATATTTTGAAATTGAGGCCATATAGTTTTAAGATTTTTTTTGTTTGGAGGTATTACTGAAAAGATTACTCATAAAAGATATTAGTAAAGTGTTATCCATGCTAAATATATTTTAAAAATCAAACATAGGAAGAGTTGTACCTCTGGTAATGTTTTCAACTTTTGAACAGAATCTTATTTTTTATGAAAAGATTTTCTCCATGCCTTCCCCTCAGTATAAATGTCAGAAAATTCATCATTAACATGAATTCTTTCTGCTAGCAAAATAAATGTATTGAATTGTCCACTCTAGTAGTTGTACTCTTTTTTTTAATTAGTCAGAAGTTGAGATGGGACATAGGTGAAGTTATGGGGCAAAAATATACTTTATAGTTTGTTACTTTTAATTTATGTGTCCTTATACATATTCAATCCACTATCTGGTTTCAAGTAGAAACTTGAAATTATCAGTTATTTCAGAAGTTTATTTATTTATTTTGAGAGAGAGAGTGTGAATGGGGTGGGGGGCCAGAGAGAGAGGGAGAGAGAATCCCAAGCAGGCTCTGTGCTGTCAGTGCAGAGCCCAACGTAGGACTCGATCCCATGAACCTTGAGATCATGATCTGAGCCAAAAATCAAGAGTCGGATGCTTAAGTGACCGAGCCACACAGGCACCCCTAAAGTTACCAATTTTTAAGTTTGAAAGTCCAAGCTGTTTATACTGGAATAAACCATCTGAAAAAAATTACATAGTGGTTTGAAGTCTGAATTACTTTTTAACCATGGAATAAATGGCCAAAATATGAATTTCCTTTTTTAATGTAGGATGTTCACAGAAATGTGTGATTTTAAGAAGACCTAAAGATTAAACTCTTTGTCTTTTTCATGACTACCCGTTTCTCTCTTAGGTGGCTCACCCCTTGATTCGCAGTCAGCTTGTTAATTATATTTACAATGGGTTCTTGGTACCGGTCTTGGCTCCTGCGCTCCATAAGGTCAGTGACTGGCTAATGTAATCTTGTCTGTTTATGGTACAACTGGTGGAAATTGAGGAAGGTGAACAGTGTAATTGACTTGATAGTGACCTTAGCTTCATTTTTCTTCTCATTCCATTCACATTCCTCAGCAATATCAAAGATAGGTCTTGTTTAAAATTTTTTTAATTTTTAATTTTTAAATTTTTATTTTTTTAAAATATGAAATTTATTGTCAAATTGGTTTCCATACAACACCCAGTGCTCATCCCAAAAGGTGCCCTCCTCAATACCCATCACCCACCCTCCCCTCCCTCCCACCCCCCATCAACCCTCAGTTTGTTCTCAGTTTTTAAGAGTCTCACTTAGCATAACACTCTCCAGTTCCACCCACAAAAGGCCTTTGCTACAAAAGGCCATATTTCATTCTTTCTCATTGCCACGTAGTACTACATTGTGTATATAAACCACAATTTCCTTATCCATTCATCAGTTGATGGACATTTAGGCTCTTTCCATACTTGGGTATTGTTGAAAATGTGCTGCTATAAATATTGGGGGAGGCCAAGTGTCCCTATGCATCAGTACTCCTGTGTCCCTTGGGTAAATTCCTAGCAGTGCTATTGCTGGGTCATAGGGTAGGTCTATTTTAATTTTTTGATCCCCACACTGTTTCCAGGAGCCGCTGCACCAGTTTTTCATTCCCACCAACAGTGCAAGAGGTTCCCTGCTTCCCACATCCTGCTGGCATCTATAGTCTCCGATTTGTTCATTAGCCACTCTGACTGGCTGGAGGTGATATTCCGAGGTGTGGTTTTTGATTTGTATTTCTCCTGATGAGGAGCAATGTTGAGCATCATTTCGTGTGCCTGTTGGCCATCTGGATGTCTTCTTTAGAGAAGTGTCTATTCATGTTTTCTAGTTCTATTTCTTCACTGATTATTTGTTTCTCGGGTGTGGAGTGTGGGTGGAGCTCTCTTGAGTAGATTTTGATACTAGCCCTTTGTCTGGATATACTTGCAAATATCTTTTCCCATTCTGTTGGTTGCCTTTTAGTTGGCTGTTTCCTTTGCTGTGCAGAAGCTTATCTTCATGAGGTCCCGATAGTCCAGTTTTACACTTCCCTTGCCCTTGGGGATGTGTCAAGTAAGAAATTGCTGCGGCTGAGGTCAGAGAGGTTTTTTCTTGCTTTCTCCTCTAGGGTTTTGATGGTCTTCACCACATTCAGTCCTTTATCCATTTTGAGTTTATTTTTGTGAATGGTGTAAGAAAGTGGTCTAGTTTCATCCTTCTGCATGTTGCTGTCCAGTTCTCCCAGCACCATTTTTTCCATTGGATATTCTTTCCTGCTTTGTCAAAGATTAGTTGGCCGTACCTTTATGGGTCTAATTCTGGGGTTTCTATTCTATTCCATTGGTCTATGTGTCTGTTTTTGTGCCAAAGATAGGTCTTAACAATGGCAACAGTTTAAGTCTGATGGAATCCAGCTGGTGTCATAGAACCCAGCATTGTGAATGTTAAGTAAGATAGTCTATGTGAGGATTAGCAAATGACTCTGACTCTTGCATTTCCTTCAGTTCATGGGGAGTAGCTACTTGGAACTCTCTGTTAAGCCAAGTCTGTTCTAGAGAGTGAAAGGTTTACTATGGTGGGGAAAGGGGCAGTGGTAGCACAAGTGTCATATATTCGTCATCTCCTTAATAGAACGTAATTTTTTATTATAACAATTGTGTGACAGCAAAAATTAAAGCGAAGCAACTTAAGGTCCCAGCAAAGATTGGCTGTCCCGTTAACACCACTCTGAATTCCTTATGATGCACTCATTTCATATAATAAATCAACTGGTATCTTTTCCATTGTGAGCTGTCCGGAGACACCCATGCGCCTAGAATTCTAATTACAAGGAGTTTTTCTTCACTGAGTAAAGAGACACATAGAGTATTTAGTTCATAGAATCTTTGTGGAGTTACTAGAGTTGCCAGTGCATGTGGGGAGATAAGCAAGAAACAACTTATCACATGTGTTGATGGGATGCCCAGGTTTCTACATCTGAAAGTACCATTTCCATGGGCTCTCATTTTACAGAATTGAAGAATACCTTATTATGGCAGCTTTGAAGCCATGGTAATGGGGTTTCTAGTTTAGAGCAACAGGTTTGATAGAAAATGTTCATCTTTTACCATTTAGTGCTGCACTATTTTGCAAAACAGTGTTTTTGGTCTGACTGGGACTTTTGTGCTACTTCTAGGTTCAGGAGGTCATCTTGGATGTAGTTTAAACCTCAAAATATTGATATTTCCAGGTTGTTTTAGTGGTTAATGGGCACAAAGGGACCAAGTGTTCAAAATGAAATCTGTCTTGGAAAACACAGGATATATCTTTGGAAAATACAAAGCTCATGTTTGTTTCCAGGTTGTCTTTCTTTTAGTACCTTGCTGTCCTGGAGGTGGGGTGGATGTCTTGTACTGAAGGTCTCTAAGCCTCTACATGGAGACATTTTCCTCTATGAAGGAATACAATGCTGCTATTGAAATTCTTTGGCAGTAATTATACTCTCTCACACATTTAGACTTTCTTCCTCATTTATTCCCATGCTTTTCCTCATTGACCAGTTGATATAAAATAATTTCCCAAGTCATTATTATAATAGTGATAATTATCATGATTATTTGTTCAGGATATTTTACATTATTATAATTATCATACCTTAATGTTACAAATATTAATGATAACTCTTTATCCATAATTGAGAATGAGATCCACCTCAGAGACTGTTACAGGGACCTCACTGGTCACTCTGTACTACTCCTCCATAGCACTTACCAGAAGTGGAATCAAATCATTAAATGTGCAATAGCTTGTTTAATGGCTGTCTCCACAGTGGTTTGCCTGCTTCTTGTGGGTAAGGTTCAGACCTGCTTTGTTCACTGGTGTATCTTCTATGCCAAGGACAGAGCCTTGGACTCGGGAGGCTGAATAAACAGTGCCCAAACGGAAGGATGTTTGTTAAGGTGCCATGCAAAGAGAATACTAATTGCACTTTATGTATATTAATTAATATTGCCCTCTATTATGCCTGTAATTAAAATATGAGGTTTTTTAAAATCACGAAGTCAGGAACACATCCTTATTGTGATAAAAAACAATACCGTCACTACTGAATAAATAAAATGCAAAGTGAATGTTACTGTATTGGATTTGAATTTCCAACCCCTAACTAAAATTCCCTAACTTTTATCCATTACAGACAGTTTCTCCCAGGGCTATTTAGAGACCAGGGAGAATATTTCCTCCCTAATTAATTTTTCTTCTTGCTTTCCAATATTTTCTTCTTTGTGGTTTTTTGTCATTTAGAATGAAAAGGTTTAGGAAGGAAGCAGGGCAAGGCGGGAGGGTAAACAATCTCTCCCCTGACTGTTGGCTGCCTCAGTGGTTGATGAAGTAAGGTGCCTCTCATGAGTGGCAGGACAGGAGCCCCCGAGGCAGATGAGGAAGTCCAGAATGGGGTGTTTCTAGAGGAGTTCCTGGGGGAACGCTCACCTCCAATAGCCTGTGGCCTCTCCTTTGATATGGGAAAGGATAGCTGGAAGTCTCAGGTGTTCTGTAGAGGCTCCAGTGTATGTTTTTTCATGTTTTGTGTCCCTTGCCCTGGGAGAGGAGCCTAATTTAGTATCCTAAATAAATTTCCATGGTGTACTATCTCAGCTCCCAAGTTATGCATAGTATTTTAGTTACTGTCCGTCCCATCCATGTAGGCAGTTTGCAGAGGTGAACTCATTCTCTCTGTCTCATAAATAATATAAATAAATTCATAGTTAAAAATATTCCTACATCACAATCAATTCTCATAAACTATTTCTATGGCATTTCCTAACCAGAGATGAAGTCATCACGAAGGACTGCGGGTAACGAGAGGTGGGGTGCTGCTGCTTGACAGGCGAAGGTCGCCTCTACCATCCCTCTCCCAAGTCAGTATGTGCACAATGTAAAGTTGCCTTTGCAAGTTGTTCCATTAGGTGCTTTCTCCATCCAACACTGTGGCCTGTTAGCGCAAAGGCATATTTGTGTTAGCGCAGAGGCATATTTGATTTTTTTCACAGGGCTGCATAGTTTTCTGTAGTGTGGATATACTCATCCATAATCCCTTATCCTCAAGTCAGAAATTCAAAAAGCTTGGAAAACCCTTTTTTTTTTTTTTTTTTAAATAATTCATGTGGCAGCACAACCTAACCTTTGCTGAACTCATTTTGTGGTAAACCCTCCCCTGAACTATCTTGAGACTATTTGTTTTTATTCCACTTGTGTTAACATGTGTATGTTCTGTGGAAGGAATACTAATATATTTGGTTATAAGGTGCTGCCTCAGATCCGCTGGGTTAGTCAAATACGGCAAATTTACTTTTCTTAAAAAACAATTTTTGTAATGGTTATTTGTTTTTGAGAGAGAGAGACAGACAGACAGACAGACGGAGTGCAAGTGGGGAGGGACAGAGAGAGGGGAGACACAGAATATGAAGGAGGCTCCCAGCTCTGAGCTGTCAGCACAGAGCCTGATGCGGGGCTCGAACCCACGGACCGCGAGATCATGACCTGAGCCAAAGTCGGACGCCTAACCGACTGAGCCACCCAGGCACCCTGCAAATTTACTTTTCTAAACTATGAAAAGTTTGAGTTCCAATGTATGTATGGTCTCCAGGATTTTGAATAAGGGATTGGAAGCCTGTTGTGTACATTTAGGAAAGGATCAATTTTTGGAGATAGGTTTAAAATCATACTTTGTAAAAGTCATACTAGAGAAAATGATACCATGTTAATATGGATGATTAAGGAATTAGTTTGATCTAGACACTGTGCTGTACAAAACTGGTTATTTATGACTTTAGGCAGCCCTTAACCAGCAAGAGTAGTTCTCTTGTTTCTGTATATTTAATTTATTAAAACTAAATTTTCAAGGCTGAATATTCATCGGTGTGGTTGTATTAGTCTGTGTTCTCAGAGAAGCAGATGCCAAGACAGGATTA